TGATTTCTTTAATCATTCTCACCCGTGTCTCACCCGTAAATCGCTTTTCGTTTGTCGATCCTTTAAAAAAGTTGAAAAACAATCCAGGAATAACTCCGCTTAAAAAAAACGCAATTGTTGATGGGACTACTGAAATGGTCTTCTCATCAGTCACCATAAATATCGAGCAGAAAACCAAAAATAAAAATATCAAAATGATAGCCATTTTACCAAGCATGCGGTATGTTTGAGGCCTGACTGGTAGGACTTTGTGATTCGAATTCGACGCTTCACTGCAAATGTGCCAAAATAGATCTTCTGGAATTTCACCGCTCCAATTCTCCGAAATCATTTTCTTCACCTCCTGGTAGCGCATTTGAAGGTCATAGTAGCAAAGATAAATGTTTGTGAAAGCAACGACAGAGAATGCCACATATGGGCCCACGACTGAAGCATTTAAGACTACACCAAAAATTACCAAACCAACCATGCGAGTTATAAATCGACAAGACAGGCCCCCTACGAAGCAGGCGTATAGAATTAATACGTAGATGTGTAGAACGCAACAAAGTAGAACAAAGCGAAAAACGAAGTTCCGTGTGCAAGATTCATGGTTTTCGTTACGTATTTCGTGGATCCAATTTAGACCGACACGTAATTGACGAGTTTTCCTCATACAAAAAGTAATCAGAGTAACGAACGGTGAAAACAACAAAATGCACACGATCGACGCGAATAACAATACAAAGAGGCATAGTCCTCCAAAAATGACACCCACAACTATGACTAAAAAAAGTTCCCAGAATAACACCCACAAAATAATGAAGGGGGTTTTAACTAGTTTACACGGAGCAGCCATTTTCTCAATACAGCAATGTGTAAAGAACTCTATACACTTTGCGAGTACTTTTCGGTGAAAGGTAATTAAACAGGAAGCTAAATTGTAAATGTTTTCCGCTAATTTTGTTAAGTGTAAGATCATGTCCTCTCCCACTGATGTAGTATTTTCATCGCAAATAGGGCAAATGACCCGCCAAATTTCCTCATTGACCGTAACAAGGAAATCCTTAGGTCTTGAAAATAAGATCATAATCAAAGGAGCGAGAACCATTAGTGGGATAAGTGTACCTTGAAAAAGGAAAGGATATGAAAACGGTGGTCCCGCTAGAAATACATTTGTTTTTTCATCCACCTCCTCCATAAATTTGCTTTTTACAGTGTAATCTAATCCTAATCTTATGTACAGAAAAATTGGAATAACACAGCACCAGAGAAATGCAAATTTAAAATGAAATGAAAATAATTCTGTACGTTCTTTGGTATAAGTTCTGAGAAAATAGGAGAAGGTAATTGGTTTTGGTTCGTCTAAATAAATCAAACTTTGCACATGTTTGTTTGATTCATCTTCGCTAATTTGGAAATTAGCTCGCTGACTCTGAGTCGGAATGGCTACAACAGGAAATACATCGTTATTTTCTGCAT